AACCCAAGATCATGGTTGAGGCCATCGTCTTAGATACGGAACTTGGCTGTCAGTTTCTGCTCTGTGATTCTGCGTTGTTGTGTATCTCAAAGTCCGCCTTGGAGATCGCTTATCTGAAGATTGGAGGCTGAATGTCCTTGACCACTGAAGTGTTCTCTTACTCAGGAGCATTCCTGTCTGGCAAATGTTGCGCAGTATTCATTCATCCGTTCTCGTAGCGTCTGCATGGTCTCGCCAATAATACCATGGCTCAAGGTATCCTTGCATGCAGCGTATAAGATAGATAATGTTGGCCAAGTCACATGAGTATCTGCCACGTACGTGGTGGGTTGTGTTCCCACGTGTGATGGTAGTATCCATGCCAATGATCTGACATGTCTTGCAGAGGCTGCTGTGGCAGGCTTGTGTGGAGTTGTGGCCAATATTGTCCTGAAGGCTGGGTAGTTTGCTGTGAATGATGGTCTGCTTAAGGTTTGGTGGTTGTTTGAAGATAAGTGGAAATGTAGGGATGATCTTGGTGAGATGCTCATCATCATCTATGACATGTTGAAGGCTGCGGAAAACATGACGTAGTATCTCCAGCCTGGGGAAGTAGTATGCGATGAAGCGTAGTCTATCAGTCATATCCTGCGCCTGTCTTCTGAGGAGGTCGTTGCGGTTTTTCGCTGTGGCACATCGGAACTGGCGATCAATGAGTTGAGCATTGTATCCCGTTCTTATGATGGCGTCCTTCAAAATGTTTAGGTGTCTGTCGCTTCCTCCTCATCTCGGTGGATCCTGTGTATGTGCAGGGGATGGCTCCTTTAACCTTTTTTTTAGGGTGGAAGCTGGAGAAGGGCAGCATCATGAGGTTATCCGTGGGCTTGGGATAGACTGAGATACTGAGGTGTCCATCCTTGATGGAGATGTGTGTGTCCAAGAACGAGACTAATTCTGAAGAGTAGTCCATGGTAAGTCTGATGGTGGGATGAAACCTGTTCATATCGCTATGTAGTTGTTTCAGCGATTCCTCGCCACGAGTCCAGTGGAAGAAAATGTCGTCAACTATCTGGCGTACAGCTGAAAGAACTATGGATGCTGTAAATCGGGAACAAAAACAGAAGTTGCTGGAAAAGCTCAGCAGGTCTGGCAGCATCTGTGAAGAAAAGATCAGAATTAACGTTTCGGATCTGGTGACCCTTCCTCAGAACTTATGCCAGACCTGCTGAGGTTTTCCAGCAGCTTCTGATTTTATATCTGCTGTATAGCATTGGCCGAAGGTCCTGCGCAGCAAAGAAGTTTTGCTCAAACTTGTGGGTGAAAATGTTGGATATTTAGGTGCAAATTTGGTCCCCATGGCTGTTCCATGTGTCTGGATGAAGAACTGGTTATTGAAGGTAAAGACTTTGTGGTCAAGGATGAAGCAAATGAATTGTAGGATGGCTTCTGGAATTTGGCAGTTGTTGGTATTGAGTACTGAGGCTGTCACAGCAATGCTGTCTTCGTGGGGATGTTGGTGTAGAGTGCCAAAACGTCCATTGTGACGAGGAATGTTCCTGGTTCAACTGGTCCATGGGTGCTGAGTTTCTGTAAGAAATCTGTAGTATCGTGACAGAAGCTGGGGGTTCCTTGTACAATGGGTTTCATGATGCCCTCGATATAACCAGAGACCTTCTAACACAGGGTTCCATTGCCTGATACAATGGGACATCCTGGTTTGTTGGCTTTGTGTATCTTCGGAAGGCAGTAGAAATTTCCTATGCAAAAAGTATGTGGGATGAGAGTGCATAGGATAATCTGAAGGTCTGGATCAAAGGCCTTGATCAGTCTGTTGAGTTGACAGGTATGTTCTTTGGTCAGATCAGCAGGTCGTTTTCTGTAGTGTTCCTGGTTGTTCAGTTGTCAGTACATTTGTTTGCAGTAGTCCGTTCTATTTTGTATGGTGGTGGTTCCTCCGTCGACTGCTGGTTTGACGACAATGTAACGATGAGCCCTCAACTGACAACTTCAATTTCGTACAGTTGAAGGGTGTGGTCAGACAAGTTGACTGTCCTGTTTTGACACCGTCACTTTGATGCGTTGTTATGATCTCTCTACTTTAATTAGTCTGTACAGTTTTGGATTACTTATTACTTTGGTTAGACTCTCGGCATGCGACTGTTATTCCAGTCATTTAGTTTGTCTCCACCGCCGTCTTATTTTTAATTTTTTTGTAATTATCTCTCTGCCTCATTTAATCTGATTATAGGTAATCCCTTCGCTTGTTGTTCAGCTGTTGACACTTTACTCACCCCATCTAACACTCTTGGTCACCTGCAGAGACTTTTATTCGACATTCCACTCACCAGTTGTGTGATCTTTTGATCTCTCTGATCTTGATCTCTCTGCCTATAAATTCTGTGTCTATGTGCCGTTCTGTCTCACTTCACCTGATGATGGGGCTGTGCTCCAAAAAGCTGTGTTTTCAAATAAACCTGATGGACTATAACATGGTGTCATGTGTCTTCTGACTTTGTCCACCCTAGTCCAACACTGGTACCTCCATATCATGTTTGTTAATATTTAGGCTGCTTATGTTTCTTGTCCTATTCCCCGTCTTCTTAGTTTAAACATTTATCACCTCCATCTTCATCCTTCATGGCAGAACGCAATGCTCATCCTGGTCTAGGTGGACCTTCATCCCATCGATGTTGCTCCTTCCTATTGCAGAACTGGTCTGAGTCTTCTGTGAAAAGAAACTTCACTTCCCCACTCCAGCCCTTTACCCAACTTTTAATTGTCCTGATCTATTTCATCCTATACTAGTATGCATGTGTTCAGGAATTAAGCCAGGAATCATTATCCTGAAGGTACATTTTAATTTAGAGCCTAACTCCTACTACCTATTTTAAAGGTGGTCTTCCCTCTGTCCCTACCAATGTCATTTGTTCCAACATGTCCTATGACTAGGTTTACTCCCTTCCTTCTTTTCCAGTTTGTCTCCAGCTGCTTGAATATTCCTGACCCTAGGACTGGGCTGGCAACACATCTTTGGAATACTCACTCTTCACTGTAGTGGTGCTACCTATCCCTCTAATTATCATCCCCTGTTATGACCACATTCCTACCCTTCTTGGTGCTCCCATCCCAACGAAACAGCCTCTGATAAATGATGACTTGGTCTGCGTTTATGGTTTTACTCCCTGCATTCTTTCTCCCTGCCTCATGAGTACATTCTAGCAGTTGGACCAGTGTCAGGAAGATCATCATCTCAACATCTGCTAAATCCGTTTATTCTGATCCCCATCACTCACAAACTTCCTTTCCTGAGCCTCTGTTTTCCTCTGGATATGACTGTATTCCAGATAATACTGTCAAGGAATTCCATCTCCTCCATTGTGTGTTGGGGGTTTCTCCATCCAGTTCTTGAGTTCAATGACTCTAAATTGGACAGATTCAAAATGGAGACATGTATTTGCTCTGGATAAGCTCACCAGCCAGAAGGAAAAACCTGTAAAACTTGTGAGTGACACATACTAGTCCAATTTGTCTTGAAAATGGTCAAAATGGGGGACCAGTATGATCAATGCATTCATTTCTAAGAATTTTTAAAATTGTTTCTCCCTCACAGCATCTACAACTTTCCCAATCTGCAGGGAATGAGGGAGGGCAACATCAAGGCTTGGTTTTGAGGTGGATTTGGAGACTGATCATAGGGAGGGTGGGAAAGAATGGGGCTGAATGTGACTGTGTCACCCCATTTTCAGGTATATAATCTGCTGTGCCAAATCTTAGACTAGCGTTAGTTTATTTATTTTATTAATAGCAATATTTATTCAATGGTTATTTATTGTTATATCAAATAGTATAATGCTGTAAGCTATAAATGTGATATAAGACTTGCACTTTTCTAGCCCTAATTTTAAACTACAGTCTTAAATTAGAGAAAAAAACTTAAAACTCACGAACAAACTCATTTCTGAAAAAGGGTCCAGACCCGAAACATCAGCTTTCCTGCTCCTCTGATGCTGCTTGGCCTGCTGTGTTCATCCAGCTCTACACCTTGTTATCCAACAAACCACTTATCCTTTTAACCATTTTATTCCATCTAGACCATAACTCTCTGGTCATCTTCCCTTCTGTTTGTTTTGTTAACAGTACCTCTTCCCTTACTCTCCAAAATCACTGAGTTAAATACTCTGTTGAATGGTAGTCTGCAAACTTGGATTTTGTGTTTCTTACTTTATCCAAAGTAAAACCTCCTATTTTTATACTAGATGAAATTCCAAAGGCCTTAGTCAATGCCTGCTGGCAAAATAACCATTTCTAACCAGCCAGCTAATTATTTAATTATCCAGTTGCATCTAGAAAGTATTTACAAGTTAAATTTAAAATTAAGCTCTGCAAAATATGACTAGATTTTTGAAAGAGCTCCGTTCTTAAAATTCGCGATTTAACCCTGGTAATTAGAAAGTAAGTATCTGTTGTAAATATATTTTTTGTACTATTGTTGGTGAGGAGCAAAACAGTAATTCAGTTAATGGCACTGAAGATGTGCTGTGATTGGTGAGAAGAGCAAACTTCTCTGAGGGGCCAGGGGAATACATCTGTAGCACTTGTGCCAAGGAGATTGCCCTGAAAAACATTTATTTACTGCTGGGTCTTCCCGCACTTCATTGCTGGAGCACCGTGAAACCTCACCAGCAGCTGCTAGATTTGCATTTGACTCTCATCTGCACCTTGGGAGCCAGATTTAAATATTGTTGTGAAGTGGTCAGCTTCACCAGGCAAGGACACTCTGTAATACTCTCCCTGTTGCTGTAATAGTTGGCTTCACGCATACATTACAGGATTGGTGAAATGTCTCTTAATTATAAATTTGAATCTTCCGTCTGCTGGTTGTTACAAGTTAGTATTGACGCTATTGTCTATACAGATTATCAATATTATCACTTCAGAGTTTTATTTGTTGGTATAGAGTTTTCGGTCAGGCTGTGACACAAGAAAAGTACAGTTTTATTGTGGTTGGTCTTGTTTTTCAGGGAATGGCATTTACTCTTGAAGAACGACTACAGCTTGGAATTCATGGTCTGCTCCCACCATGTTTTTTAACCCAAGATGTTCAGGTTCTCCGTGTCCTTAAAAGCTACGAGACCAAAACCAGTGATCTTGACAAGTAGGTAATTGCTATAAAATATATTTTAATCCAACAGACATGTGGCTACATATAAAAAGGGGATTTGTTTTATTTTTGATGATAGATAAGTATTTTCATGTTAAAGGCTGCAAAATTTGACTTCCTGGCACTCTGGTTCTGTTGACTTCTCACTCTTTAGATTCACTCAGCTAAACATATGTTCAGCTGAACTAGCACCCCAACACACTCATGCTACTTAAAATGATTCAACTTTCAGCTGCTGTAGAGTGTTATTCAAGGAATTGACAGGTATTTCTGGATTCACAAGGGTGTGGTGCACAGTCTGCCAAGGACATTTGAGCATCTGGAAAGCTGGTTAGGAAAAAGCCTGCTTTCAGTGGTAGCAATTGTAGTTGGAGTTCCTCTTGAGCACCACCAGTACCTTGGTGTAGGGTATATGCAGCAGACAGGATCAGCAGTGCACAGAGAGAAGGGAAAGAGGGCTCTTAAATAGAAGGCTATACTTGCCCAAGGCCCTCAGATCACTTCTACAGGTGTCTTTGCTAGGTCTAATGCTCCTTGTTTGTGTTGCTCCTGTGGCTGCTACATAGCTTGTGGAAAGCTGCTATCAGCAACGTTCACTGTTGATGCCTTGCAGAATGCCCTGCGTTTTGAGGGCCCAGCTTTGGATTGTGCTATCTTGGCAGTGGTGGCAGTCACCTGTGCATTCTGGCTTAAAAAAGGGCAATGGTGAAGTGGCAGTTGTGGAAGCAAGGATGTTTTCATCTGATTTCTGAAGAAGGGTCCCAACCTGAAATGTTAGCTTTCCTGTTCCTCTGATGCTGCCTGGCCTGCTGTGTTCCCCCAGCTCCACATTTTGCTTTCATCTTAGAACGTGAAACCATAACAAATGGGAGCATGAGAGAGGACAGCTGGTTTATACATAAAGAAGGCATTGCCGTTGCCCTGGGCTGGCCCTTCAGTCATCCTAATCATTTACTGGCCTGTACTGAGACAATTAAAAGCCCCTTTTGAAAAATGGTATTTGTAACCATGATGGCAGCAGTTTAACCTGCATTGCAATGTGCTTGGCTAGCATGACAATGTGTGCATCTCAGGACCCTAGTCTGAGTTTCCACTACAGCTCTGAGGCTTTTGATGGCTTTGGTCTGTACTGTAATGGCAACTGAGATATTGGTTATCATATCCACACAACAATTGAATTGACCAATGGTAGTATACTAGAAAGAATGGACTTCAGGCTCAGTATGAAGCCCCATTTCAAACTGGAGCTGGATTCATTTGTGCTACTTTGATGTTGAGGCCCATTGGCAGCCTTGTCAATACACTAAGCATCTTCATAGAATCATAGAGTCCCCACAGTGTGGAAACAGGCCATTCAGCCCAACAGGCCCACACAGCCCCTCCGAAGAGCATTCCACCCCAACTCATTCCCCTACCCCTGCATGTATAACCCACCGAACCTAAACATCCCTGAACACTGTGGGCAATTTAGCATGGCCAATTCACCTACCCCCCACATCTTTGGACTGTGGGAGGAAACCGGAGCACGCGTAGTAAACCCACGCAGACACGGGGAGAATGTGCAAATTCCACACAGACAGTCGCCCAAGGGTGCAATCGAACCCAGGTCCCTGGCGCTTTGAGGCAGCAGTGCTAACCACTGAGCCACCGGATCTTAATATGCATTCCCATCAGTGTGCTGTATGCCACCCCATTGTCTTCATATGAATCACTCTGTGGTGAGCCAGTACGTGCATACTGTCTTTTCCTCTGGCCTTGCTGCAGGCCGCTTCTGCGCATGTGATCCTGGTAGTGAGCTAACCATTGAATTATGCACAGTACCAGCCTCAGCGAGTATCAGATCAAAAGACTCATGGCCTCGTCAGAGGTGAGGTGAGACTGTATCAGCTGGTCAGGTCCTAAATCTTGAGTAGCTGAAAATAAAAATGCAAGATGTGAGCAAAGTATGTAGGGATGGAAGGCAAGAGTTCCATGGTCACACTATGTGCAATGGTAGTTCATATCAGGCAGCAGAATAAGGCACAGGATAAACTTCTAGTAGCTGAAACTCTTAAACCCTTTCTTATAATTCCACCTGATATTATCATTGGACAAGTCAGATCACAGACTGAAATTTGGCTTAATGAATCACATTTTGTATTTTTGTTCATTTTATTCTGGTGGTCTCTCACTGAAGCTTGTGCTTGTAATGCTGTATATTTGGTTTAAGGAGTAAACATTATTTTTTAAAAGAAATGGGGATTGATAAAATAAACCAAGTTATATACACTTTAACATACATTTTAAAGATTTAAAAGCACACAGTAAGCTACAATTTTATTAATTTCACCAGCAGCCCTTTGCTGTACTCTAACACCAGAAATAATTCCCTCTCAGACGGTGGTTAATGTGTGGAATGAACTGCCAGAGGAAGTGGTGGATGCAGGTACAATTACAACTTTTAAAAGACATTTGGATAAGTACATGAATAGGAAAAATTTGGAGCCAGGAGCAGGCAGATGGGACTAGTTTAGTCCAGGATTGTGGTCAGCATGGACTGGTTGGACCAAAGGGTCTGTTTCTGTGCTGTATGACTCTACCATACAGAGAATTTGACTTAACTATGGCTAAAATTCCTGGTTTTGAGAATCCGATAGCCTCTTCCTGGATTCTTCATACAACTGAGTATCAACATTCTCAGCTTCAAATAACCTTTTCAGGGTTTTAACCAAACATTTCTGGATGGAATTTGAAAACTAACTTTGCTAACTGAGGTAACTTATTTCTTAACAGTCTTGAATTCAGTTCACGCAAACTGCTTTAGGCAGAACTTCGGTAAAACCCCAGTAGAAATCCAAAAGTTTTTTTTAAAATTGTGTATTTCCCCTAATCATAAGCGCAATTTTTTTTGTTTATTCGTTCACGGGATGAGGGCGTCGCTGGCTAGGCAGCATTTATTGCCTATCCCTAATTGCCCAGTGGCAGTTAAGAGTCAACCACATTGCTATGGGTCTGGAGTTACATGTAGGCCAGACCAGGTAACGACGGCAGTTTCCTTCCCTAAAGGACATTAGTGAACCGGATGGGTTTTTCCGACAATTGACAATGAATTCATGGTCACCATTAGATTCTTAATTCCAGGTATTTATCGAATTCAAATTCTACCATCTGCCATGGCATGATTCGAACCCAGATACCCAAAACATCATCTAGGTCTCCGGATTAACAGTCCAGTTGAATGCCACTAGGGCCATCGCATCCCCATCAGAACCTTCTGAACTTAAACCTATTGCATTATGCTGTTTACTTTGTTTGCTCATAATCTTGCCCAACAAAAACAAAATCCTGTTACTCTCCAAGAACTCGCTCACTCGCAGTGTTGTTTAAAAGAAATTTAGGAAGGCTGCGGAAATACCTACAAGTTTATCATGATATCCATCCTGACACACAGACCAAAATCCACATGTCATTAATTCAAATCCAAATTCTAAAATAAATGATATTATAATGTAGATGAACCACACACTTTAGATCAAATCTCTTCCCAAAGAAGAAGGGAAACGTATCTTTAATAGGCATTTTCATTAATCATCAAGCATTGTCTTAACTTTACTGCTTTGTCACTTTAACACTAATATCATATTGGCACTAAGTATCCAATCAGTTGCACAGCAACCTTTTTTTGCTTCCGTCCATGGGGACCACATCACTCAGTGGTTTTCAAATATGCTACCAATAAAATGTCCTCTCCTAAAATTTTCTTTCACGGCCACGTGTACAATTTTCAAATTAGAGGGTTAGAGAATTCAGCTGTACTGAAATAAAAAGTTAATTCTTGTCCCAAGTTTATTTCTTAAAAAATCAAAGGATTATCGTCTGTATAAATTTCAACAATTTCTTCCATGTTGTTGATTTAATACTCAATATTAAGTAGAGTCAACACAAGACTCAATGTCTCGTTCTGAACAGTGGAATATTTTTGCTGACATTCAGTCAGTTTCTTTGAAAGTTAACTGATAGGCCATTCAATCCCATTTCATTATTTTGTAGTAAAACAGCCCAAATACCGAAATCACTGGCATCAACAGCAAGTCTGAATGTCTTTGCATAATTCAGTACTGTTAAATCCGGTGTGGTTTTCAGCATGGCTTTCATGTATTCAGCGGCACTCTGGCACTCCTACATCCATTCAAATTTTCTGCCTTTCTTCAACAATGATGGTGCTGAAGTTTGGAACAAGCATTCATGCTAAAGTAACTCATTTTGACCTAGGCATGGGAAAATCCAAAATAACACATATTTTCACTTCTACAAATGCTACTTTGCATATTCCCTACTGTGGCCCACATAAGTCACTTTTGTTTTAGCAAATCCATCTTAGCTGGACTAATAACCAAGTAGGCTTTTTGTAGTTAATCAACAGTTCAGTCAGGTGGTATAAATGGTCTTCATAGATTTGGCTAGAAACACCCAAATCCCTTACGTAAACAACAGTTACATTGTCCTTCATTGACTTTGTTGGTAGGAGCAAATTATGCAGATGCTTTATTGGTCATCTGTTAAAATGTTGTTGCTGCTATACTTTTCATTTCAAACAATATGACTTTGTGTTGATAATATCATCCTGCAGTACAAAAGATGGTATTTCTTTACTTCTGTCAGTTAGTGGAACTTGCAGCAACTGAGGAGTGATGTTCCACAGAACATCAGTGCTGTGACCAGTGCTGTTCACAATTTATAGTAACTATTTGGATTTAGGCATCCAAAACACTTCTTTTAAATTTGCAGATGACTATAGTTAGGGCTTAGGTGGATTGCAATAGTTTACAGAAGAATATTCATAAATTTGCAGAATGGGCAAATAACTGGCGAATGTACCTTTACACCGTCTATAAGGTACAGGATGTGATGAATACTCTCCATTTGTTTGGATGGCACAGCTCCAGTAACACTCAGGAAGTCAATCGTATTCAGGACAAAGTAACCCACTTGATTGATTCCCAACCATCACCTTCAACTTGCACTCCCTCCACTACCAATGCACAATGTACCATCTACAAGATTTACTGCAGCAGTCACCTCGGGTAATTCAGCACCTTCCAAACACACAAACTCCACCACCAAGGAGGGCAAAGACAATAGATGTATGGTAACACAGCCACCTTCCCCTTCAAGCTCCACACTGTCCTGACTTCGAACCATGTCACTGTTCCTTGATCTCACATGGTCAAAATCATAGAACTCCCTTCCTAACAACATTGTGAGTGTATTGACAGTACCCAGACTCTGTGGTCTTAAATGGTGGCATACCATCATCTTCTCCAGGTATATTAGATGCATACCTAACCAATAAAATCCACATCAGATGAACAAATTAAACAAAACACAGTTCAATATATAAAGGATTCATCAATAAAAGATGTGATTTGTTCTTCTTTTAGGACATGCAGTTATTGATCAAAGATGCACTTTATTTATTTTAAAACTGTAGTTGAAATCTAGGTGGAATTGCTGAACCTTTCTTGCAGTCAGTTTTCATCAATGAGCTTTAAAATGTTGCATGTTGTCATCTGCCTCAACAGGTATATTATCCTCATGACTCTGCAGGATCGAAATGAAAAACTTTTCTATAGAGTGCTTACTTCCAACATTGAAAGATTTATGCCCATCATTTATACCCCTACTGTGGGCCTGGCATGTCAGCAGTATGGCCTGGCCTTCAGAAGGCCACGGTAAGTCAAGTTTTTTCTTTCACTTGACTCCTGCTTCCAAAGTTCTGCATTTTTCACATTGCTGGTATTGTGTTGCAGATTTATTTGTGCGCAGTTAAATTTGTTTTTAAGTTTTCAATGTGCTATTATCAAATTGATCTTTATAATGCAGATTTTCTACAATTTCACTTTATCCCTAGTTACCTTCATTTCTCTATGGCACAATGATTGAACAGTTATTCTTTATGTTAGGATTGAGCTCATGATTGCTGAATAAGATTTTTGGCTATGAAGGACACTGTAGGTGAGTCCTAATCCTTCTCCCATCCCGTGTCCAATCCTGACCCTAATCTGGTCACTGGCACCAGCTGCAATAGCACAACTGCAGGGCTCCCTGCCCTAGGTTTTTCTGCCAGACCCTATTTCACAGCTGGAAAATTGTTGTGACCCCTCAGTGAGGACTGTGAGAATGAGAGGGCAAACCTGTAAGGTGGGGGCCTGTAAGAGAAGGAGGTTTGGGTTAGAGAATATTATGAGGAATTTCATTGTTTTTTACAAAAATGTGTAAAGTTTGTTGCGAGATCAGGTCTTGAGGTAGTTTTGTCGAGGCCAAACTGTGGTGTGGGAAAAAGTGAGGATTTGTTTTGTAGCTGTTCACTTGGTTGGAGTCCATGTCAGACATTGCTGCCTCTTACCTTGTGACCTGAAATTTTGGCTCATGACCTCCAACTTTGGGAAGACCTGCCCATCCCTGTGTCCTATTGAGATCAGCTATTTCAGTACATATTTAGTGCAAATCTATTTTAATGCAACACAGCTTGGTGCTTTTACCCAAACATCTGAGAAGCAGTATTTTTAAATTATAAATTACACTAAAATTTACAGTATCTTCCTATGAACACTGTGGGAACAAAGGTGGTTTTGTTTTCAAACAGTGCTTCAGAGTCTGAGCCATTTCTGATCTGGCTGAGTTCTTCTGGCACCACACCCCATGAGTAATGCTGGCTTAATGTCAGAGTTATAGGGTCAGTGTAATACCTGTATTTGTTTGGACTTGTGTTGTGTGCATTTCTTGGTTCTCAGACCTGATCTCCAAAGCTGTGTTAGATTTGCAAAATGGTCAAAGTGACATAGTGCTTCTGATCTAAGAGAGGGGTGTTGAAATCAGATTGTTTAATAAATTCACTTAAAATTTGCCTGATGTTTCTGTATGCTTGTCAAAGCAACAGAGAATGAGAGCTTTCTAAAAAGTAATGTGTTTGTGTAATTTTACGGACTGCTGTGACATTTCAGCAACAAATTGAGTTGAGACTGAGATGAGATCAGCCATGATCGTATTGAATGGTGAAGCTGTCTCGGGAGTCTGGATGGTCTACAGTTGCTCCTAGTTTATAATGTTTTACGTTCATATATACATCTTCAAATGTAGGCCCGCAAGAGCTATTCCAACAGTTTTATTGGCCATATGGTGATTTGGCAGTGGGCCAGTCAGGTTATTGTATTCATTGTGCATAAAGTGGCACGGTGGCTGAGTGGTTAGCACTGCTGCCTCACAGCACCAGGGCCCCGAGTTTGATTCCAGCCTCGGGCCACTGTCTGTGTGGAGTTTGCACATTCTCCCCATGTCTACGTGGGTTTCCTCTGGGTGCTCTGGTTTCCTCCCACAGTCCAAAGATGTGCAGGCTAGGTGGATTGGCCATGCTAAATTGTCCATAGTGTTCAGGGATGAGGGGGGTATAGGGGGATGGGTTCTGGGTGGGAAGCTGTGAGGGTCAGTGAGGACTTGTTGGGCCAAAGGGCCTGTTTCCACACTGTAGGGATTCTATCATCTATGAAATCTGCAGCACATTTATAATTTTGCATTATTTTACAGATTTGTAGTTCTGATATAATCTCTTAAAATTCCCATGATATGACAACTTAATTGCCTTCATGTGCTTTCACTTTGAAGTGTCAGCCAGTATTTTACCAAATAACCATTCTTACTTTGAATTAAACTGTGATCATCAACAAGCTGTTTGGCAAAGAACAACAATGGCATTAAGCACTGCCTACTTTCCAATTCTTTTCACATCTCTGTCTGTTGTGTCTAATTTTCCAGTTGAGAACAGCTAATTCAGCACAAATTAGTCATAACCTTCTGGTTTAGTATTACACTGAATGTAGCAATTTTATTAAGGAAGTCAGCTGGAGATGGAAGAGAAATTAATCTTTAAAATTGTTTACCCAGCCAATACTCACTCTGGCATCTGGTTCAGAAACAGCAGCAGCAAAAAGTACAATGACGGATTGACTTCACAGTTATGTGATTGGTGTAGAACCCATTTACTCAATTTTGAATTACCTTGCCAGTCAATATGTTGTTAATAGTTATCACCTATGTTATATACTTTTGATACCATTACTACCATGTGTCAGAAATACTTATTTCATAATTTTTACATTTTAGCGTATAACTTAACAAGAATTAGGAACAGGAGTAGGCCTTTCAGCCTCTTGAGCCTGCTCTGCAATTCAGTACGATCATGTCTGGTCTGTTTGTGGCCTCATCACTTCCTTATCATTTCCTGCCTAATTGATCAAACCTAACTTAGCCTTAAAGTTATTCAATTACTTAGCCTTGCACCTCTCTGGGGAGGAGAATTCCATGGAATGGCAATTCTTCTCTCTCCATCCAACGACCGACAGGGAAAAGATGTCCTTAGCTCAGTCTTAAATGGGAGAGCCCTTATTTATAAAAGCTGTCCCCAAGTTCTAGACTTTACCAACAGGGCAACATGACCCCCACCCCAGCATCCATCCTGTCAAGACCTCTCAAATTCTTGCTTGTTTCAGTCAGATCACTTCTCGTTCTTCTAAATTCTGGTAAATTTAGGCTCAGTCTGCTTAATTTTGCCTCATAAAATAATCTCTTTTAATGAACCAGTTGAGTGAACCATTTGAATTGCTTCTAGTGCAATTTACCCTTTAAGTGAGAAGTTAAAAATTATGCACAGTAGGTCCAGATGGAGTGATATTGTCCTACTTGCATAATATATTCCCCTTGCAGTGAATGGAAACATCCCATTTGTTTTCCTTATCATTTGTTGTAGCTGCATTCAAAGATTTTTCTGATTCATGTATCCAAGATACCCAGATCCCTCTGTCTTGTAGAGTTCTTCAGTTTGTCTCGTTTGAAATATTCTTTATGCCAAGTGAACAAGTTAATATTTTCCTATACAATACCTCGTGTCAATTTTTTGTCATTTACTTGACCAATCTAAATCTGTTGTAGACTTCCGTATGTCCTTTTGAGAATTTATTTTCTAACCTATCTTCACGTCATTATCAAATTTTCCATCTGGCCCCTTCTTGTAAGTTATTGTTATAAGTTACAAATAGTTGAGACCTTAGCAGCGATCCCTGCGCTAGTTATGGCTTGCCACCAAAAATGACCAATTTACTCTTTCGCTCTTCTTGTTGATTAACCAGTCCTCTGCACTTGTTAATATGTCATACATTGAGGTCTTCACTGTGTAGTAATCTTTGATGTGCAGCCTTTATCAAATTGCTATTGGAAATTCAATTGTAAAACGACGACATATTCTCCTTTATCTCTGCTTGTTGTTCCCTCGAGGGAATTTGCCTAGAAACATTGCAGATGACTTGTTATGCAAGCAGTTAGAAGTTTAGGTGGCGTCTGTATCTGTGTTGGTGTTGTATGTCTGCCAAGGTGCAAGGCTTGAACAGATCCATTGACCTTTATAATTCAGTATTTTTCTGTAAGTGCTAAACCAGCTGCATGTAGAATATTTTGTCTATGAATTTTACCTTCTGAAATATTTATTTATTATTCAAACTTCAAATAGCATCTGTTCTTCAAAATATTTTAGGTACTGATGCCTTAGAGCATTTGTTAATAATAAGTGCCTAGCTCCCTAATTTTAGGAATTTATTGTCATAGCATCTCTAATTTTACTTGTACCAAATTATGGTTCAAATTTGAAATGTTTTTTTTATTGAGCCATGAATAACTCATTACATTTGTATATAGCAGTTTTGAACAACTTGTTTTTGAATAAAGTATTCACGTTGAAATCAAGCTTTGTGCAAGTAACGTAGAACAAATCTATGATATGAGAGGTGGAGTAGTGAAGACAGCATCTACACTATCAAGGAGTAGAACAAAACTATTTTACTCTTGCCTTTGTTTCTGGTGGGAGGTTAGGCAAGGATTGTTGAGGGTTCTGGAGACAAGGCTTTGTCTTAAAATAATTGAATCAAAAGTAGTTGAAACGTTTGTAATACTAAAACTTCAAAATAAAACACATGTCTGAGGTTCACATCCCTGATTGGTTTTGTCCCTCCCTATTTTTATAACCTCCTCCAGACCCTAAATCCCCAAGTTATCTATGCTCATGTCATTCTAGACTCTGGAGGATGAGCTGTGAGGAGGATGCAGAGATGCTTCAGGGTGATTTGGACAAGCTGAATGAGTGGACAGACGCATTACAGATGAAGTATAATGTGGATAAATGTGAGGTTATCCATTTTGGTAGCAAAAACAGGAAGGCAGATTATTTGAATGGATATAAATCGAGAGAAGGGAAGGTTCAACGAGAGGAGCAAATTACTGTAGATGCTGAATCTGTACTGAAAACAACAAATGCTGGAGATAACAATGATTCATGTAAAGGGAGCAAGCTAACGTTTCGAGTCAAGATGACTCTTCATCAGAGTTGACATGAAGTGTGGAGGGGGCAGCATTTATGTTGTTGGAGAGTGTGTTTGGAGTGTAGAGTGCTTGGGGAGAAGGGATAGTTCAGATTAAGTGATGAAAATGGCAGAACAATGGTGTGTCTAACTGTCAGACGTGAAAGAACAGATGGTCCCACTGGAGTGGGGGAGGGGAGAGAGGACATGGTGACAGAGAAGATCGCAAGTAAAGCTAAAAAAAAGGAAGGAATGGGAGTTGGTTCACAATTTGTACTTGTGACTGCATCCTCTCTCCACTTGTCCAGACCCTGCCCACCTAAATCCAC